TTCGCAGGAGGACCCGTCGCCTTTCTTGTAAATCGTTATGACTACTGATTCGCACCATGCAGCTGGAACCTCTTCTCTCTCCCACACAGCCCAGGAGTTTTGTTCGCTCCAAAACCAAGGCTGAACCTGGGGACAGCCCGTCGGGGCCGGAAGCCTTATGCCTTTTGAAGTAACTTATTTTTCGGATAACCTCCATTTCAGATGGATGGCACTATTTGCCCAGTCAAGGTGGAGAGTGAAGGATCAGATGTCGATGGAGGCCAGTTGAACTGAGCCTTGAAGTGTTCATCCCATCGATCAAGACGGTGTTGCTGATCATTAATCTGTGTGCCATTAGATTCCTTAATTATCTCACTCACGCCTACTTTCCTGGGGCCTGTATTCCTAATTAGACGGAAAAGATAGCGACTATTGCCAATAGCCGCAGCCTTCTCCATCTCTCTGTGCTTATCTACCCACCACTTCTGGCGGTCATTCCTCTTGATGAGCTGGTGTTTAAGGGATTTGCGCGCTGTCGTATGTGGTATCGGGAGGAAGGGTTCTGCAGGCGTCCAGCAGGTCAGCCGAGGTCGACGAGATCCATCTTTTGTTGGAGGCAAACCGACAGCAATGGCGATCATGCTGCCACTTATCAGACCAAAATGCTTGAAATAGTATGTATGCACAGCTGGACTGTTTACTCTGTGTGCTGACCATAGAGGTTCACTTTCTTTTCCCGTCCCTAAGAATAGGTCCAATCCCTGTCATCCTTACACATTATCACTTACTTTGTATGCATTATGAGTTTGGCAGCGATCAGTGAAGTTCACCTCACTGTATTACGCTGTACAATGATGATGATGATCGTTTGTGTTTTGAACCTGTGCCATGGTCCGACGTTGTTTTTAATGGTATTTGCATAGCTTCCTTGATTTGCTTCCAGTGTTCATTGGGTCCTTCGACTGGAGGTTGAACTGACAGGCGATCGGAGAGCTCCCCTTAGAAGGCCAATTTGCAGTCATCGCGGACGCTGTATCGTGAGTGTCCGTTGTCGGTGGCATTTCTGCGGTTGTTTGCCAGGCGTAAGGGTAATTGGGCTCGTAACAAGACGTGGTCTGCATCCACAGCTGTCGTTCAGGGATCCCACTTAAGCATTGAAGCCTCCGGCGACTGCTACGACATCCGTTGCTCGAACACTTTGGAGAAAGATCCTTATAGAATTCATCCTTGATTTCAGGTGTACTGCAATCAGTCGGTGCATACACCGA